CCCCCTACCCCCCGGGAAATTCCGATTGAGCTTCATACATTTCTTTAAATTTTTTGGTCTCACAGAACCTCCCACCCCCAGGGAAATTCCAGACCCTTCTGTGGGAGAAGAATGGATATTTTCTGGAACTGAACATTTCAAGAAAAACTGTTGTTGGTGGCCATAATATACCTTAACTTGTAGCCCTTCAGGAGAAGGGTGTACAAAAAGTCCTTAAAACTGCAATGCCTGTGCTGCTGTTGTTGACAAGTATTCTTTTGTGGGCAACCCTTTTTGTGGGAGGAGACACAGTAATCTAATGTTAAGAACTCTGTACTGCAGATCAAGAGGTCTGGGTTTGAGCCAATGGTTAAGGCTCTCTGCGTTATGTTCCTTCGGCCTCATCGACTATCACCTCATAGGAATTTCGAGCTCATAATCTATATGTATGTAATTAATAATCTTATGGCAATAGGACTGAGTGGAGTCCAATTCGGTCTGTAATCAGACATAAGATTAACAAAATCGGATGACTGTGAAGCGCGAGTCCAATTTGTCAATCACAAGTATGATTACAGGCTGAATTGGACGACACAATGTCCTGTTACCAATTAATCATAACCATTACAATTTCCCACAAAAGTAAAAGTTTCATTTGAAAAAGAGCTTTTAATTGTCATTCTTAAATGTCGTGATTAAAAATATGGAGACTAGCTTGTAAAATGGCTGTTAAGTTTCTTTCAAAACAGCTGCTGGAGCAGTCACCTCTACAATTTTACAAAGTCAGTCTCTTGAATTGGTTACTTTGGTGATTATAATCAATGTTGTGATTGGTGGATTTAGTGGGGAGGACTTAAAATGATTGGCTCATGTAACTGTCCAATTACAGCCAACTGTCCGATTACACTGTCCGATTACAACTTTCCAGACTAGTTAGAGCAAAATACAGCAGTTTGTGCACCAATCACATTAGAGGAAATCACAATTGTTATGATTTTGAAGTGTACTGGACTGCACATCAAGCAATCTGGGTTTGAGCCAATGTTAGGATCTTTGCATTGTGTTCTTGGGCAGGACACTTTACTCTCACACTACCTCTCTTCATCTAGGTGTACAAACAGGTACTGTGTAAATTTAATACTGGGTACTAAGCCTGCAGCAGACTAGCATTCGATCCCATCTCATCATTTTCAAACCTTGCCACTGTAGGGTTGAAACTCTTAAAAAGTTCTGATGAGTTTTTAAATGTGTAGTTCTCTCAACTGAAACAGACAGACTCACATACCATCCATGGGGGAGTAGAAACCTTCAATATCACTTATTGCGCTGCTTTGTGTTCTTGAAGATGACATATTACTCTGACGTTGCCTCCCTCCACCCAGATATACAAATGGGTACTGGGTTATTTTAACACTGGGGCTAACCCTGGAGCAGACGGGCATCCCATTTAAGTGGGGGAGGGAGAGTAGAAAGGTTAAGTCTACACACGAGCCAAGTGGCCCATCAGGCCGGAGCTTATCCCAGTTTCAGTAGCATGAAGCAACTAGGAGTATTTCTGCTTCCCCCTGGATGGGATGCTAGTCCATCACAGGGTTACCCCCCGGTATTTAATTTGCCGGTACCCATTTACACACCTGGGTGGAGAGAGGCACTGTGAGAGAAAAGTGTCTTGCCCAAGAACACAACACAATGTCCCCGTCTGGGGCTTGAACCCGGAAAGCTCACTCAGGAGTTGAGTGAACTAACCATGAGGCCACTGCACCTTCCACAAAGAGTAGAAAGATGCCTTATCAATTGATGCCACAGAAACTGGGATAAGCTGTGGTAACTTGGATCACTTGGCCTGATAATGACTTAACCTTACATCAAAACTCCCCCAAGTAGGGTTACACTTTTTAAAAGAATCTGATGACTTATTTTTAATTGTAATAATAAGAGATCAAGGAATTCTGCAAAGGTTAAAAAAGTGGCAGCAAGCAAGGAAAAGAGCTATGTGCTGAGATTCAAGAGAGAAGGAATCAAATTGCGACATGGGATCGTAGGTCAGTCATAATTTTATTTATGTTTGTCATCATGTACTAGGAATAATTGTGCACACCACAGGCAGAAATTAAAACAAATAGAGAGCTATGTCAACAAACCATTGTTGTGTGGCTGTATACGTTAGCCCATAGATACCAATGACAATTCAGTTGGTGCGACTTTGTTAAAACGTGAAGTTTAATGTGTAGAGAAATAATTGGAAACTGTAATTTACGTTAATTTCAGTTAGAACTCTACTAAACCAAGTAGATTATTCGCTCTTGATTTCTATGAGGTGATAGTTGATGAGGCCAAGGGCCAAATCTCAAGTTCAGAATCTAATTGTTAAGTGTACTGGACTGCACATCAAGCAGTCTGGGTTTGAGCCAATGCTTTGGGTCTCTGCATTGTGTTCTTGGGCAAGACACATTACTCTCACACTACTGTACCTCTCTCCACCTTTGTGTAGAAATGGGTACTGGTTGAATTTAATGCTGGGTTCTAACCCTCTGACAGAATAGCATCCCATCCAGGTGGAATATAAATTTGCCTTGCCACTTAATGCAATGGAGACCTGGATAAGCTGTGGTGGTTTGGATCACTTGGCCTGATGCCCACTTAACCTTAACAGATCGTGTGTACTAAAGGCATCTGCATTCAAGTGTCAATCGAGACCCTCAATTGACCCTCGATCAATACTTGAGCGACACTCCATTGACACCTTGGTTGACTTTCAATCAACACTCCATCGACACCTCTGTCAACAGTCGGTGGAGAGTCGACTAATAATTTTTGATTGATTCATATGAGTTCATTGACACTCGGCCTACTATCGACTGACTGTTGATTAAGTGTCGATAGAGTGTTGACTGAGTATCTATAAGGATGTCGATCGAGTATTGATCAAGATGTTGATCGAGGGTATCGATCGACACTTGACCACAGATACCTTTAGTACACATGATCCACCTTAACTTCATTGTTGAAACTTTCCCCCATAGGATTGAAATGGAAAAAAATCTGATGGTTTATTTTTAGTTGTGTAGTTTTTAAATTTAGAGAAGATGGATGTCATTAAGGTTAAAACATTTCCAGTTTCTCACTAGATACAAAACAGAGAAGAAACAATAAAAGCTGTGCTGTCTTAAGAGGAAAAAGAATCAAAGTGAGACATTGGATCCCTTATTAGGTGAGTCACAATTTTCTTTTAAAAGGAAGTGATTTTAATCATTTGATGGTGCGTGTACTAGGAATAATTGAGATGCTGTTGTTACACTGTTCAGATATTTCAAGAAACTCTTGTTATATCGCTAACCGGATAGGTTATTTTATACAGACATTCCTTAAATGAAGAATACAGTGCCCAAGGTACTGTTGTTGATGATTATTCAAATTGTGAGACAAGGGGCCTAATTAGTTCAATGACCAATTGCTTTCTGGTTCATATATCAATGATTCCTTAACCTTTAAGCCTCATGAGTGATCAGCTTAATATTTCTCCTGACAGTCTCAAACATACTCATGAGGAAACACTAAAGAGGATTTAGAGAGTAATCGCAAAAAGGAAATAATCTTATCTAGCTCTCTGCACACTTTGCAGGCCTATGATAATAGCGAATTTATTGTCTAGCTCTCTGCACGCATTGCAGGCCTACGATAGAGAGTAATTGTCTAGGTAACTCATAACCAGTAAGGAGAATTTGCTTTTTGACTAAGGACTCTGAATGAGGAATAAACAATGAGAAGATAGTTTATGAACTGCAGTATATTGTCTTAATATAGAGCCAAATTCTCAGAACAATCCCTGAAAGAAATTTACAGCAAAGAACACCAGAGAGGCCGGAAATTGAGACATGAAGTACAAACGTCAGTCTCGTCATAAAAATTCTGCTAAAAGTTTAATAGTGCGAGAGAAATGCTACATAACTTCGTTCAAATCACCGAGTTATTTATTTCTATATCTAGTTATTAATTAATTTATTTGTTTTTTGCCATGAGATTTTTCGGATTTTCACCATTGTTTGAATTGTTTTCTCTGGGATTTCCAGAGGCAAATGTTCTTGAAATAGCTGTCAAAATGAAAGTCGTTTTCAGTTGTAGTTTCTTCAAAGCCGTCTTGTCAAAACAAGCTCAAGCTGTCGGGTTGTCAGATCAAGGATGAACAAGAGAAATTCATAATTACATGTAAAGTGCTGTTAAATCTATTATAATTCACTAATTGTCTTACACGTACATCTTCTATTTAGAAAATGACTTTAAAAACAGTTGAATTTTAAAGCAACTTTGTCTTTTTACTCGCTCGAGTAAGTAAGTTATTTCAATTTTTGTTTGAACTTGCATGGTCATAAGCGTCTGACAAATTACATTGCCTTTATTTTAGTACTAAAAAAATGTGAAGCTATCCGAGAGCTTTTTATTTTCAGAAAGTTCAATTCATCACGCATAAATTTATCCTCAGGAAGAAAATGCAAATAATGCCCGTATTGTCGCGAACATCCTCCCTGTAAAATTTGTAGTGTGTTATTGTGCCAGTGAGCTTTTCGCCTGCAAACGTTGCAAATGAGGGTTAGTTTTAGAGTGTTATATTTTAACCGGTGCTATTTATTTCGTTTTGCTGCTTGTCCGCGTTTTAAGTTGTAAGTTTTAATATCATTATGTAAACTCCGTGTACGACTGTGTTGATGATATAACCAAACAACAAGCGCATTCCTGATGAGAGAATTAAGTTGTAAGCTTTAGTCCAGTATACACTGTATGTATATTTTGTTCTTTGACTTTCAGTGTACCCATTGTTATTGAACGTTTTATTTATCTTTCTTTCAGGCTGCCATCTCAAGTGTACATGCAGCGACATTAACATGGAGAAAGAAGCAAAGGAAAGCAGACTTTCGTTTAGATGTTTCTTTAGTGGATCACCTTTTTTGAAAGTAAGGTAGATCTACAAGGCAAAGTTTCAGTGTCGCGAAAGATTGTCAGGGCCGAGCTCGTATTAGTGAATTCTCAAAACTTGAGAGTCAAAAGATGTCACTAGAATTACTGTCAAATTGTCTAGTATCTGCCAAATTGGTTAGCATCTTGCTTGTTTTCGAGGGAGCCGTGAATTGTACTTCCAGTTTGTAGCTTTAAAATTAAGGCAGAATATTAGCACTACCTGGAGTTGTTTTTGCAACCTGAATTGTCAGCTTGGAAGTCTCGTTATTAAACTCGTTGAAATAACTGTCTAATTGTTTAGTATCTATTTCAAAAACTTAGTGTAAGCTTTCCAGTTTCGAAGGACGCATTGCATTCATGTAAAGGTTGCGCTTTTAAAAGGGCCAAGAAACAAACTCGAGAAGTGGAAAAATTGTCCTTAGGAAAAAAGGTCTGCGATTTTAAATGGTGTCTGGTTTGGGTCAATCATATACCGAGTCTTTTGGCGGAAAAAATCTTGCACTTTGCGAGATTATTCCCGACAAAACTCACAGTATATGTTTGATTTCTGGCTAGACTCTGTTCAAAAGCGCAGAATTTTTTTTCTTTTTGACAACCCTACATAGTAAGGCCTTAGTGCCACTGTAGCAAGGACTGTAAGATCAACCTCTGGAGGACGAGGACTGGCACACAGGCTCTCCCCACTCCTTGCACACCTTCAAGCAAATTTGCACGGGTGCAGTTCAGCCGTGCACCAGTGTGGTAGGGTGAGAACACTTAAATAATCAGCTAGAAGAAACGCTCAATCCAGTTTTGTCCCTGGTTAATGTTGTCACGCAACACTTTGCTCTTATGTGACAAAGGGCCACAACTGGACAAGAATCCCTCTGTTAGTAGCCTGAATTTCAGCCACCTCCTCTGCTCGCTAAGTCACTGAGATTCAGGCTACTCTGTTAGAAGTGTCTCAGTCACAGTTGTATCGCCAATTCTCTGGTTGACCTTGTATAACCCCTCACCCNCCCCCCCCCCAAAATAATAATCAATAACAGGAACCTGAACCTTCAAATACTCCTTGACTTTATTAAAAAAAAAAAGAGCTATGGCGGACAAATTTGAGCACTGCTTTGATGTTATAGAAAATCCCAACCTAACTAAAGGTGACTTGTTACACAAGCCGTTTTTTTTTTCTTTTAATGCAACGCGATTATCAAGGCGATTATATAGTCTGCTGTCTACACTAATGAGAGCCTCCCGAGGGGGTGGGGGGTAGCATGTTTCCTTCATCCTTTGACAATTTCACTTTTTCTCCCTTTAATATTCCCTGTTTTAATAAATTCCATTGTTCTCTAATTTTTTCTTCTTGTTCCCAAGAAATAAATGATCATGTTCCCTGGATACCTAAAGCCCCTGGGAGTCCGTTGCTAACAGACATCCTATGCAGAATCACAGGGAATACCGTTAAAATCTACTTGGATACCACAAGATCTTGCATTAAAGATCAGGGCAGTAGAATCCTGTAAGATCTTGGACAGGATCAAATGATATCATGGTTTAAAATACAATTGTAACACCTACAGTGTAGCGCTTCATCTACATGCACAACAGATTCACTCCAAGCTATAAGTCTAAATTACAGGGAATTACTACAATTATTCTAAAATCAGCTGAGAATAAAGCAGCAGATCAAGAATGCCATACATCATCAAGCATAATAACAGACAATTTTCTTAATATCAATCTGTGGTCTGCTTGACACAGCTTGGTCAAATTAGATATCAATCTTAGTAATTAAAAAAAAGGTAAGCAACTAACTGTCACTACATTTTAAGTCAGATAGACACAATCTCTTTATCTCAATAGAAGGAAACGTCAACTGAAAAAAAAATGGTTTTCTTTTAAAGTACATACATTTATATATAAAAAAGACTAATAATATTAAAAAAAAAAACCAGAAAAAAAATAAACATGGATCCACAGTTACAACTGGGAAAGATACAAGTAGCTAATGCATGACATATTTTAAACAATTCCTTATTTTTCTTAGGGCAAATGTACTACGAACATATTTTTAAGTTACAACAGGATGAAAATTATTGTTTTTGAACACATCAATTCAACTTGAACATGAGGTGAAGTATCAATTACATTTAAATTAGCTTCCTTTTTCATCTTGGTTGATTACCCTTTTTACCATTTCCAAAGCCATTTCACCATTGTCTGAGGGGACCATGTGGCCTGCTTTCATAATGTAGTAAAGCTCTAAATTCTTGTAAGCCTTGTAGAATGCTGCTGTGTTTCTGTTCTTAAACCCTGAAGGCGTATAAAGGGGTACGCGGCTGGTGGCTTTAAATGCTGGTAATCCATCCCAATCAAGTTTAGCGATCCAATCCTCTGCTCCAAGGGTATCGCAAATCATGTCCAATTGGCCCTGATAAACGACAACTTTCAAGCCGTAATTCAAAAGTTTGCTGACATCATCTATCACTGGTTTCATGAAATCCACTGCCTGGTATGTAAACACCTCTCCCGACTGCTCACCCCATGTGACATTTGGCGGTATAATGCCCAACTTCTTTCTGATTACACCATTCATGAGTTCTGTCAGAGGGTCAGTATACAGACGACCAACGTGACGAGCGTAAAGGCGATCCAGAATGTCACTGCTTAGTGATCGGAACTTAGTAGGGAAGGGTGGAGCATTGTGTAAGAGAATGTTATAAACATCAACATTATCTGTTGTTTCTGCGATGACCTTCTCAGTTTTATCCCAGAGTTCAGTAGCTTTAACTTATTGACCCTTAGAAACAGCGTCGGCGGTAGCTTGAGCTGCGTTGTTGACCAGCTCAAGGTCTTTTCCATCCAGCTGTGACACAGCATAAAGATATGGGCCCCAGGTCAACACTGAATCTACTGGTGAAATCCACGAATCTCCCAGGGCCACCCCTCTGAAGTTGCACTTGATGCCTCCAGATTGAATGGCTTGATATAGAGCAACGCCAAAGGCAGATGTCATCTTGCCACCATACGACTCGCAGAAGATGTAAAAAGGAATCTCTTGAAAAACTGGTTGTTTGTCCAGAAAGGCAATGAAGAGAGTAACAAGGTCGTCTGCTATGCCTGGAACAAAATTTTGAAAATCAAAATAAATTCAACATTGCTACTCAACAAGATGTATGCATGTATGGATGGATGTGACTTATTGATGAAAACCAAAGCTATGCAAAGGTAACAGATATGAAGCTTTCTATCAGAATGGTGAGCTTAATTGCTTTAATGTTACTTCAAAATAACTGATTTTCGGATCATTAGTAAGGACAACAACAGTGTTTGTTAGTGTCAGCCCTGGGGGTAGTGATATTCTAAAAGACCTAAAAACAGCTGCTTGATATTCCCAAAATTAGAACACTACAGGACAGAAATGCTCTAGATAACAGATAAAGCTACGGAAATTTGTTTAAATCTATAGTGTCCCACCAAAATATCATTTTGCCCATATCACTTCAACTTGTAAAAGCATTGTACAACCCATCTATGTGTCCCTCACCTTCATTCTCCTTCCAACCCCATCCCCAAAAGAAAAATCCAACAGCAACAACTACAATAATATCGGGACTAATCATTTTGCCGATCATGTTACAAGATTAAAATCATTTTGGATGCGGAATTAATCCTAAATTTCCGTGTCTCACTATTTTTTCATCGTGTACTATTAATTATAGTGTTCTAAGTCTGTTCAAGTTTGCACTGAATACCAGTCAGCGGTCTACACCTACACGCGGTTCGAGAGTGAGTTCCTGTGTTTTGACAGACAAGTCCCGTGAAAGTCACGCGATTTATAATTAAAAAGAAAACAAAACTTTTCTCTCCAGCCCCAGCGCTGCGATCAGCGCGAAACCCATTCATTAAACCCAGATATAGTCCAGATAAAACATGGTTTCACAAAAAGAATCGATCAAACCAAATAAAAAGACCATAATTCTATACGTAATTATGTAATGTGATTGCAAGGTAACTCGCCTGTTACGTTTGTGGTGAAGGCTTTGTTGTCGGTGACATAACTATAACCGGAACCCACAGGGTTATCAACGAATAGAACATTAGCAACTTGCAGCCAGGTCGTGTTACGAGGCTTAAGCTCCACTGTGAGCGGACCAAGCTCTTCGAAATTTCCGAAACCCGTGGAAGAACCGCCTGGACCTCCTTGTAGCCACATGATCAGAGGTTTGTCGACGCGCTCTGAAGGATCGCTTGTGCTCGCTCCATAAAGCCACCAGAACATGAATGCATTTTCCCGCACTTGAACATAGTTCCAGTCTTCGTCTGGTATTTGAGAAGACGTCGACTTAGAGGAAGAAAGCGCAATTAAAGCAGAAAATAGCGAAACCAGAACCACTACTGAGACGCTGCAACCTTCCGCCATGTCTGCAATTGACATTCGGTACCAAGCCCCACGCTTCCGTCTTGTTTAGCAGACCCAGGCCACCCAGCCAACCTTCATTTGGAACAAAGCTAATAAAGCTGAGATTAAAGATACAAATTAGTCAAATTATCTGAAGAAATGCATGTTGTAATCGAAAAACACATATGGTTCTGGTATAATTTTTTCGATGCTCCCAAAGGGCTGGATGGAAAACTCAGGCTGGGGTCCCGGGTCCCGGGGTTCCGGGCTGTCGAAAACAGGGTGTTATGGTGGAAAACACAGGGTCTGGTGGAAAACACGGGGTGTGGTGGAAAACACGGGGCGTGGTGGAAAACACGGGGTGTGGTGGAAAGCACGGG